TCGTATCTGTGTATTGAGCGACGAAAGTCTCATTTTCATTCCAAGCTTATCATATAGTTTTATTTCTTTCTTTTTTTCTTTTTTTTCTTTTTTTTCTTTTTTTTCTTTTTTTTCTTTTTTTTCTTTTTTTTCTTTTTTTTTCTTTTTTTGATAAAGTTTTACCATCTAAAACTAAGATGATCGTTTTGTTAAAGAAAATTGTACTAAAAAATAAAACAAAATGAAATCAAACCAGCTTCTTTAATTTTTCTTTGAATATTTTCAAGCATTATAATAAGGAATCTAATGGAAAATTTTCTTATTGTAGACTTTCATTTGTTGTTAACGGTACGTCTAAATTATTCATTAGTTTTGTTACTTCTGTTAATGAATAATTCGAGTTCTTTATGAGTTCTGGAATGGTTTTGAGAAGATCGATTCGAACTCATGATGAAATGATGCTTCGAGTACGATGAGCGTGTTGGACATAATTAGAGAATGTTATGGTCGAATCTATTGTGTTGATAGTTTTGAAATGGAATTCACTCATGAAATAACCATTATGCTACAAAAATTGGTTCAGTCGAGTTTTGTCGTAGATCAACAGCCACCTCAAGTCATAACCGAAGGCAAAAGGTAAAATTATCACCCTTTGGACGGTTCGTCCGATTGATTTTAAAGTAAAAAATAGAAATATTTGACGATTAATCGAAACAAACTTTTGTTATTTTGTAAATGTACAGATTTGATGCCTGTGTGCGCGTGCTTCTGCCCGAATACATTACAATTTACGAAGAAGAACTACCAAAGGTCACCGTTTCAATTTTATCGGGTAAGGTTCAAGTTTAAGTTAGAAATTAACCGAAATATTGTGAATAAATGCCACACACACACACAAAATTATGTAGTAGAAATTGAGGTCAAGTAATTTTTTCCTATTAGCAAAAAACGTTGGGCGTTCAGAAAAAAATCACTTAACTTCAATTTCTAGTACATATTTTTGTGTGTGAATAAACTTTGATCAACATTTTGAAAACATGTCATTTTCCATTTCTGAAATAATCAGAATCACAAAAAAGCCAACAGCATCAACAGCAACGCCCTGATAATGCAAATTCGGGTATAATCGATATGGATGAATGCTGTTTTACAATAAGTCCATCGAACGATCAGCGTTCAGTATGCCATTTAAGTAAAATAACACTGAGAAATATTAGAAGAGACACCAATAAAAGGACCAACAAATCTGTGATGGATGAAAAGTTCTGTCTGCTTTTTGAAACCGAATTAAAATTTAACATCTCGTCAGTTCGTGTAAGTTAATATTTCCAAAATGTGTCAATTCAAAAGGAATTTTTATTGAATTTAGCTTATTCTTCTTTCCATTTCATTTATTTTATTTTTTATCTGTTTTACGTCGTATTTCAACAGGTGTGGACCATGTCAGTTCCGGTGACGGCTGCATCGAACGTATGTCAAAAGAAAGATGGTTTGGCAACCATCGCATGGGACAATGCATTCTTTGAAATTGGTCGAACTACATTTGATGTTCCAACTCAAGTGCCGTGGTCACTAATGGAACGGGCGCTAAGCATGATTTTCTACCATCAAACTGGCTGCTATTTGACAGCAGATCACTTGCAAAGCTTGTGTAAGTATCATTTAAGCCGATATTTTTACATTTCAAACCTTGAAACCTAACTGAAAATGGCATTTGCAGATGAAAAAGTGTTTGGCCCATCGCCAAGGGAGCACCGTTCGATGTCGTGGAAACAATTTGGAAAGGCTCAACTGCAACCACGTACGGATTTCTCATTTTTCACTTGGTTCTACGAAGCAGCGAAACTGACGCGAGTGCATCTCAGCGATGAATGGCAAAAGGGACTTATCATTCAAATTATGTACGAAGCAATTCGATCCAATGGTGCGAATTCATCCGAAAGATTGAATCTCATCTGCAGAATCGATCAAATTTAAAAATCTTTGCCTGCAATTCAATTGATGCGGTTGAAATGAAAATGAGACTTTCGTCGCTCAATACACAGA